CCAAAGAATGAAGTCTGTGGGGATGAGAAAAAGCCACCGGAAGCTGCTGGTTTGTTTGGGGCAGCAGGGGCACCAAACATGGACATGAATCCACCAAATCCAGATGGCTCAGGGGCCCTCTGTTGTGGTCTTGGTCCGCCCATTCTTGGGCCTGGACCTCTAGGACCTCCCATACGGGGTCCTCCCATCCTTGGACCTACCATTCTTTGACCGGGTGGGCCAGGTGGTCTTGCCATGCCTGATCTGGGTTGCTGTTGTTGTGACATCTGACCAGGAGGATACTGCTGCCCAATTGGAGGTGGAGGACTAGGCCCTGTCACCTGAAGTTGCTCTATTACTGAAGGATGGCTTATTTCAGCTGGTTTCTCCTCAGTCGGAGATGGAACAGATTCCACAGGTTTCTCCGTTTCCTCTGTTACTTTCTCTGCTTCTATAATTATGGTCTCAGATTCTATAACAGCCTTTTCTGATTCAACCTCTGCCAGAGCAGATTTCTCTGTATCCGTAGTTGTTTTCACAGGTTCTTTGTCTTCCTCTACAGACTTCTCGATTTCAACGGCAGACATCTCTGGTTCCAAATCAGCCCTCTCAGATTCCAAATCATTCTTCTCTGATCCCACAGTTGTTTCCACTGAAACCATGTCAGATTCCGAGGGCTTCTCAGATTCTACTGGTTTATCAGCTTCTACTAGTGTTTCACATTCTGGTAGTTTCTCTGATTCTAATTGTTGTGCCGTGTCATCTACTTTCACTTCAGTTGATTCCATTGGTTTCTCATGTTCAAAGAGCTTACCAATATCTATCGGTTGTTCAGTGATGGTAGATTCAACTGGTGCTAAAGATTGCGCTGTTGCTGGAAGTTCATCTGCTTTTGGCAGAGGCTCCACCTGAGCATCTATTGATGGAGTAGTACTTTCTTTAGTCTCATCGAGTTTCTCATCCGTTCTTGGTTCACCTTCCACTGACACAGCAGCAGACTCAGGGGGTAGATCTTCCAAAATCTTTCCCTCAATGAGCTGATCATTTGGAGTCAAAGTTTCATCCATAATATCCTTTGTCTCTGATGGTGCCTGCTCAGGGGAAACCTCTTCCTTTTCAACAGTTATTTCTTCAGGCTTTTTGTCTTCCATGAATGACATGCCAAGGATTCCAAAGCCACTAGTCTTAGGTTTGCTCTGATCAGCTCCTCCACCAAGTGAGAAGATGGAGGATACTTTAGATCCTAGACCCTCTGGCTCTGGTGGTATGGAGGCCGCTGGTGGTGCACCTGCTTGGGTCTGACTGGGGGGTGTTTGTGGGCTGGGTCCACCAAACATAGAGAACATTCCTCCAGATGCTGCTGCTGGGGCTGGAGGGCCACCAAACATTGAAGACATACCACCAAACATAGAAGACCCAGCTGGAGGGCCTCTTGGTGGGGCAGCACCAACTTGAGGACCCCTTGGACCTCTTGGGCCTGGAGGGCCTTGACCTCTTGGGCCCATAGGTCCTCTTGGACCCATAGGACCTTGACCTCTTGGGGCCATAGGACCTCTTGGACCCATTGGACCTCTTGGGCCCATGTGAGGACCTTGTGGACCGGGTCCAGGGGGACCTCTAGGCATGGTTGGTTGCTGAGGAGTAGATCCTCCAAACATTGAAAATAGCCCTTTTTCTTGAGGTGGAGGCCCCCTTGGACCAGGTTGTGACTGAGCAGCAGGTCCACCAAACATAGAAAACATTCCTCCAGATGGTGCCGTTGGTGCTGGGCCTCTGGGTCCAGCTGGAGGCTGAGCACTGGGGCCACCAAACATGGAAAACAAACCTGTTCCAGAAGTTTCTTTTGGAGTCGAGGAGCCAGGGAGAATGCCTCCGAGTATTGATGATCCAGCTTGTTGTGGACTGGCACTGGAGCCACCAAACATGGAGAAAATGCCTTTCTCTTGTTCTTTGGGGGCTTTGGCCTCTGGTGGAGCAACCTCTGGGATGGAAATTTCCTCCTTAGGTGATAGACTCTCTGTTTCAGGAGAAGGTTCAGGACTGGGTTCAGAAGCAGCATCCTTTTCAGTTGTGATCTCAGGAGGCACTGTTGCTTCAGATGGCGTCACTTCGGGGGTAGAGCTCTCTTCCTTGGGTGACATATCCTCATACACTGGTTCACTGATTACTACAGCCCTTTCTTTAATGTCAACAACTGATGTGGCTTCTTCTGAGGCTGTTACTTCAAGCACAGAGTCTTTCTGACTCAGAACAGAATCCTCCTGTGATATAGTTGTGGCCTTCTCTAGTGAAGGGATTCTCTCTGGAAGCGTGACTTCAGTTGTTGTCTCATCCTGAGGAGGGTTAGACTGCTCACTGATCTTGCAGGACAGAGAATCCTGGAGCTCCAGGGGAGCTACCTCAGTGGGTGTAGACTCCCCAGGAACACTGACCTCTAAGGATTCCTGTTTTTGGATAGAGGGTGCACTTGAGTCCAGGTTGTCAAGCTCTCCTTGGGTTTCATTCTGTGGACTTGGAGGTGATATAAATAGGTGAGGTAGTCTCCTCCGAGGAACAGGAGGAGGCTCAGTCAGTAAATAACCATCAGTTGGAAGTCTCTCTGAGGATTGAACCACTATGGAGAGATAATCCGGAGGAGTCATTTTCTCCTCAGACAGACCTGCGTTTGAGCCAACTTCAGCCGATGTTAATGAAACTGTTTCATCAGGGACAGTTACTTCCGCTTGTTCCTCAATTAAACTTCCCTGAGGTGAAGTAATCGATTCAGACCTTTTAATGTCCTCTGATGGGACATCTTTGTGTGAAGTTTCTGTGGGAGTGGATGCAGGTGTCTGCTCTGACTGCGGTTGGAGCGGCTCTGAACCGGATCGACCAAGCATTGACAGCATGCCTTTAGATTCCATTTCATCTGTTGGAGCTACTGCATGAGTCTGCACTGGGGACATTTGAGGACCTTGGAATTGGAGATAGAGCTGGTGAAGAAGAATCAAAGCTTGTTCTCGTAAACATTGAGAACAGTCCTTTGCCTGGTGTTTCAGTGGTTGGGCTTGCAGCTGGAGTTACAGCTGGGGTTGTGGTTGGTGATGCCATTGGACTGGTTCCAGTTAACATAGACATTAACCTTTTACCAGGTGTCTCAATACTTGGAGAAGCAGCTGGTGACGTAGCTGGGGTTGTGGTTGGTGATGCCAGAGGACTGGTACCAGTTAACATGGACATTAAACCTTTACCAGGTGTCTCAATACTTGGAGAAGCAGCTGGTGACATAGCTGGGGTTGTGGTTGGAGATGCCAAAGGACTGGTTCCAGTTAACATGGACATTAAACCTTTACCAGGTGTCTCAATACTTGGAGAAGCAGCTGGTGACGCAGCTGGGGTTGTGGTTGGTGATGCCAGAGGACTGGTTCCAGTTAACATGGACATTAAACCTTTACCAGGTGTCTCAATACTTGGTGAAGCAGCTGGTGACGTAGCTGGGGTTGTGGTTGGTGATGCCAGAGGACTGGTTCCAGTTAACATGGACATTAAACCTTTACCAGGTGTCTCAATACTTGGAGAAGCAGCTGGTGACGCAGCTGGGGTTGTGGTTGGTGATGCCAGAGGACTGGTTCCAGTTAACATGGACATTAAACCTTTACCAGGTGTCTCAATACTTGGAGAAGCAGCTGGTGACGCAGCTGGGGTTGTGGTTGGTGATGCCAGAGGACTGGTTCCAGTTAACATGGACATTAAACCTTTACCAGGTGTCTCAATACTTGGTGAAGCAGCTGGAGACGCAGCTGGGGTTGTGGTTGGTGATACCAGAGGACTGGTTCCAGTTAACATGGACATGAAACCTTTACCAGGTGTCTCAATACTTGGAGAAGCAGCTGGGGTTGTGGTTGGAGATGCCAATGGACTGGTTCCAGTTAACATGGACATTAAACCTTTACCAGGTGTCTCAATACTTGGAGAAGCAGCTGGGGTTGTGGTTGGAGATGCCAGAGGGCTTGTGCCACTTAACATGGGCATAAATGTTCTACCTGGTGTCTCAGTTGGAGTTGGCGATACAGCTGGAGGTACAACTGGTGTTGACCCTTCATGAGATGTAAAATTGAGATCTTGAATAGTAGGTTTGGGCGTTGAAGCTTCAACAGGTGTAGTTGCTGCTGTTTCATCTGACACCTTTGAACTTGTCTCAGTTAATTTAACAACCAAATCCGGTAGATCATGAACAGGTGATGGAAGAGCGGCATCTGGGGTCGATGTTGTGTTGGGCCGGGGGATCACACTCTCTGGGGTCAATGTTGTGTTGGGCTGGGGGATCACACTCCTTCCCTCTGGCATCACCACAGTAAGAGTGCTTGCTGGGACAGTTTCTGCATGTGCTACAGTCCTGTGAGTGGTAGAGTCACTGAACTTGGAGACCAATCCCTGGATAGTTGTATCAACAGTTGGAGATAAAGTTGGAGAGACAGTTGGAGATGCAACAGGGGTCGGTGTGGAGATTGAAACAGTAGGAATGACAGGTGCTTGCTGAGTTGTGATTGAGGTTCGAGGGCTTGCACCACTGAACATGGAAACCAAACCTTTGACTGATGTGTCGGTGGTTGATGATGATGTAGCTGGTGTTGCTGGTGTTTGAGTTGGAGATATTTCAGGTGTCAGAACAATAACTCTGGATAATGCTCCTTTCCTCTGGGCTTCTGTTACCACAGGTGCCGTAGAAGCTGGACCATGCGGTGTGGTTGCTTGAGAGACAGATTCACTAACCACAGAGGTCTCAGTGGTTGGGTACACCGTTGTTGTTGATTGTAGGTGGATGGTCATTGAGGCTATAGCTGTACTGCCCTGTATCTCCCGTACACTCTTCACAGGTGGAGGAACAACCTGGGACCCATCACGTGCTTGATTCGTCATGGCTATGTCTTCCCTCAGGCCTTCCTCATTCAAGCTTTCCACTGTTGGTTGTTTGATAAGAATCCGGGGTCTGGACGGTGTGTCACGTTGAACCATTGGCTGAGGTCTATCTATGTAACCTCTCACGTCAGGCTGTTGTTGTTGTTGATATTGTTGTTGCTGATATTGTTGCTGGTATTGTTGCTGCTGATATTGTTGTTGTTGCTGATGTTGTTGTTGCTGATGTTGTTGTTGCTGTTGTTGCTGATATTGTTGTTGTTGATATTGTTGTTGTTGATATTGTTGTTGTTGCTGTTGTTGTTGATATTGTTGTTGCTGATGTTGTTGCTGATGTTGTTGTTGTTGCTGATGTTGTTGTTGTTGTTGTAGTTGCTGCAGAACTACTCTATGTGTTTCTTGTTTAGGATCAATTACACTTGGACCACTAATATGCTGTTGGGCACTGTCGTGTGTGATGGACGTCCTTCTGACCTGAGGAACAGAGGATTGAGGAGGTTCTACTTGGCTTTGAAGTGAAGCACTATGAAGAGGTGAAGCATTCAAGGGACTTTTCTGTGAATGATCCAATTGTGATGGTGTGACTATGGCTTCCATTCTAAACTGCATGCTAGGTTGCACGGAGGGCTGTGTGGATACGGGGGTTTCTCTAGAAAGCAATGGTTTCTGAGCCGGAGAAACCGAGGCATCTGGTCTGACCTCACGATGAGAGGCTGGAGGCGTGGTTTGCTGCAGGTTATTATACTGATACAGTGAGAAGATAGAACCCCTTCGAGAGGAAAGATCCTTTACTTCTTGATCAGTTCTGATTATAGGTTTGTTATCTTCAACCTCCACACTCAGATCAACAGCGCCCTGAAGTGGCTTCTTTCCAATTGGCCTTCTTTCAAACCTTTCTTTCTTCACATTGGCGAAATCCATAGGCTGCCCATCCTCCAATACAGTGTAATGGACGGCCACAGTTTGGGGTTGATTATTTTTGGCAGAGAAGTCCATAGGTGTATTGAGGGGTTGGGAGTCTTTGTTTAGCTGCCTTGTAAGTGAGAGAACCCCGTTCTTGTGGTATATGGGGATCTGCTGGTGCAGAGGTTCTATTGTGTGGACTCCATTCATGCCTGGTCTTTCCTGTTGCTGTGCTTGGGCTTGGACTGTAGGGGCTGGCTGCGCAAATACTTTCTGTTGAGGTTGTTGTTGCTGAGAAGATGGTTCAAAAATCAAAGGTACACCAACAGACTTTATCTTGGTGACAGTGGGCCTGCTTTTAACCAGTGACATTACTCCAGTCAAAGAGGGCTCAGTGGTAATTTCAGCTTGTCTCTGGAGTGGCTTTGGGGACATATCTAAGGAGCCTTTGATGGTGTTTGCTGGTGCTGAGGCTGTTTGGTAGGCTGGAACACAGGGAGTCACTTGCCCAGTATTTTTAGGCATTTGTTGCCTGGAAACAGTTGGTTGCTTCTCGGGAGCAGGTGGTTCTACAATCAAAGGAACACCGACAGAGTCCTTCTGAGCTCTAGCATCGGTCAATGGCCTAGCCACCAGTGCAATTGCATCTGAATAGTCAGGATCTGTTAATCCCTCAGCCTCTCTCACAAGTGTGTTCTGAGTTGACATATCTAATGTAGATTTTATAGAGTTTGCTGGAGCCGAGGCTGGCTGGTAAGGCTGACGAGGAGCTGAGGTTGTCTGGTAAGGCTGAGAAGCAGAGGGCTGCAATACTCTCATAGATTGATTTGGAAGGGAAGGTTCTCTGGCAACCACTGAAGCAGATATAGCAGTTGGCTGGCGTAAAACAGGGCTGAGGGCTACCTGCTGTGTTTGCGCCTGTATTGTGGCTTGAGGCTGGTCCACTATCAATGGAACACCGACAGAGTCTTTCCTGGCAATATCTCTAGCTGTGGGTTTGGTCTTCACCAGTGACATCACTCCAGTCTTGCTTGTCTCTTCAGGTCGCCCCTCCGATGGCATTGATGGCCTGGGAGACATATCCAATGTTGCTTTTACAGAGTTTGCTGGGGCTGATGCTGCCTGATATGTTTGAACAGTGAGTGGTTGATTTGACAGTGGCTGTTTTCTGGCAAGGACACCAGCTGCGTTCTGTAAAGTTTTTTGTTGTTGTAAACCCTGCTCTGGTTGAGCCTGAGTTACGACTTGCCGTAACTGTGGTAGATGATGTCCCTGAATTTCTGGGGACTCACCTTTGAAGGTCAGGTCAACAGATCCTTGCTGATCAGACATTTCCTTCAAAGAATGAACAGTTGAGGGTCTTTTGTTCAATAAAGACATTGCCTCAGTACCAAGATTCACTGACGGCATATCAGCTAAATCAACAGATGGCTGAGGGGAAGGTTTTGGGGACATATCCAATGTGGCTTTCATTGCATTGGCTGGTGCTGTGGCCTTCTGATAAGTTTGTCCAGTTGTTGGCATATATCCAATGGACTGGTTTGAAGGAGATGGCTCCTGTGCAAAGACTACCCTTTTGTTGGCAGGGCTCGGGGAAGTAGTCACAATTGGACTTTCTAGGGACTCAGCTTTCAAGGACAGGTCAACAGATCCATGTTGATTAGACATTTCCTTCAAAGGATGAACAGTTGAGGGCCTTCTGTTCAATAAAGACATTGCCTCAGTACCAAGATTCACTGATGGCATGTCAGCGTTGTTATCAGACGGTTGGGGGGATGGTTTTGGGGACATATCTAATGTTTCTTTCATTGCATTGGCCGGTGCTGTGGCCTGATATGTTGTTAGTGTATATCCAATGGACTGGTTTGAAGGAGATGGTTCCTGAGCAAAGCCTGCCCTTCTGTTGCCAACCTGCTGCCTCGGAACAGGAGTTACAGCTGGACTTTCTAGGGACTCAACTTTCAAGGACAGGTCAACAGATCCATGACGATTAGACATTTCTGGTAAAGGAGCCACAGCTGAGGGTCTTCTCTTCAATAAGGCCATTGCCTCAGTATCAAGATTCTCTGGTAGCACCTCATCTGAAGTACCATATGGCTGTGGAGATGGTTTTGGGGACATGTCCAATGTGGCTTTGGTTGCATTGGCTGGTGCTGTGGCCTGATAAGTTTGTCCAGTTCTGTACATGGATTCAATGGACTGGGCTGAAGGAGATGGTACCTGGGAAAAGCTCACCCTCCTCTTGTCAATCGGCTGCCTCATAACAGGGCTTGAAGAACAAGTCACAGCTGGACTTTGCTGCAGGTGCTGCTGAATAACAGTTGGAGAAGGTAACTGAGGTGGTTGCTGTCGCTGAGTTTCTGGGGACACAACTTTAAAAGACAAGTCAACAGATCCACGGCGATTAGACATTTCCGGTAAAGGAGCAACAACTGAGGGTCTTCTCTTCGATAATGCCATTGCCTCATTCTCAGACGGACATCTTGGTTAGCTTCTCAGAGGGTTTTGGGGACATGTCCATTGCACCTTTGATAGAGTTCGCTGGTGCTGAGTCAGCATGGTAAGTCTGACCTGATACAGAGGCTCGTCGTTCAAGCTGTGGTCTCTGAATGGGTACAGAGGAAGGTCCTGGTCTTTGGTTGGTTACAGGTTGGTTATCAACCCTAATTTCTGGGCTGGGCGATCTTCTGACTGGTATATGGGACTGTACACTGTGTTTGAGAGAGGTATGAGGACTAGCAGAAATTCTTGGAACTCTTTGGGAGTTGAGCTCATCTTCATGAGTCCATTCAATTTCCTCTACTTCAATCTCCTTTGTCAAATCTTCAACTGCCGCCGGTTTCTGTTCAGCTGTATTTGCCTTGAGCTGTAGCTTTTCTTTAGCTCTCTTTAAATTGTACTTTGTGAAGTCAACAACCTCTTTAGACATTTCAGCAGATTTATCAGTTTTCTGCAATGAATCCTTCCATTTTGTGCATTTTTCTGTTTTAGCTATGGTTGCGGAGAAGTCCATTGCTCTGTTGCCTAGCCGAGGGTCTGTACATGTTCCAACGAGCTCATTCATGCGATAAAGGCAAGTATTGTATGACACTGGGTTCATTGGGTGCTGCAAACCCCCATCAGCTAACATAAATTTGGGCACGGGTGGTTGAGGGGATTTTATTGGTTCTTGTACGACAGGTGAGGCAGATCTTCTGTCTATTATCACATTTCCATTGGTAGTATTCAAAGATGCTGGTTGTTGATATCCAACAGGTCTGGGTTCATTCATTCCTATAGCAGAGGTCATTCTGTTTGTCTGTTGCATTGGTGGTGTGGGCTGCTGTGACTGGGAAGACTGTCTGACAAGCCCCGCTCTCTGTGTTGAAGACACCGCCGGTGAACCCGCTGTTGCAGTTGGGGGCGTAGGTAAGATTCGGCCAGTAGCCGTGGTGGCTGGCTTTGGTGGCTCCTGTTGCATTGTGGGGTGAGCCACACTACTTTGCGCATCCACAATTTTGGATTTCAAACTCTCAAAGCCGAAGGAGAGTATGCTCTTTGCCTGTTGGTCAATGGAGGTGGCCTCCTGCACAGTGGGCTCTGTAGGTGGTTTAGCAGCTCCTGGTGTTACAGGAAGCTTTCTTCCTGATGGAGCAGGTCCTGGTTGTGACCTAGGAGCAGATGGGGTTTCAGGGAGGTTTCTAAAAGTCGCTGGGGCAGCCACTGGAATCCTACTAGACATTGCTGACGGTACAGGGTCCCCATTTGGGATTGGAGATGTTGGAATTGGAGATGTTGCTTTGCTTAAATCAGATGCAGCAGCAGTCCCACTAACACACCCTCCGATAGCTGAAAAGACGGATGTCTTCTGTTTCAGCTGGTCAACAGGCGTTTCATCTGCAGGCGCTATCCTAATATCAGGAATTGGAGAATTAGGGCGATTAGGTTGCGGATAGGTTCTAGGGGACATCGCAGATTTGTTAGTAGACACAAAATCAGGTGAACCTTTTATGCCATGATTCTGCCAATAGGGACCTCCATAGCTGCCCGTTTGTGATTTGCTAGTGAGATCAGCAGCCTCCAATGGCTCCTCATGATAGTAAAGGTCAGTCTGATTTGTTTCCATTTTGACCTTCCTCAGCTTAAACACAGAGAAGTCTACCGGCTGCTCTGTCTGAGCCACTACAGACTCCTGGAACATCTGAGAGAAGGATTCCATGTTCATATTCATTATCTTGTCTCCTTTCTTGAAGGCTGAGGTGAGGTCCTCTGGGGCATTCAAGAGATGAGATTCTCTCTGTGTCCGACCCGGAGCCCAGAATGCCTCCTCCTCATTGTAGAGAGGAATCTTGAAGCCACAGAGAGTGACTTTATCTTTTTCTTTTTGCTTGTTTAGGATGTTAGCAAGGTTTTCTGTGATTTGTCCCAACATCTGTACATCCTCTGGCGCACCACATGCATAGAGGTGCTTACCAGCTCTGTCAGTAAGGAGAGAGTAGATGAACTCTTCGTCTGTATAGACGTAGTAGCCACAATCCCCTGCCTCAGCTGGCCACCACATCCCTTGTTCCAACAGAGAGAGCCACTGCTGGTACCACTCAGACTCATCGACGAACATGTCATCATCTACATCTCCATTGATCCCTGCTGAACTGCTCAAATCCATAGCACCAAGGGTCAAATCCTTTGGACCCTTTTTAGCTGCGATTAGTTTGAAAAACTCTGTAGCTGACTTCTTATCAATTTGTTTGGAAAAATCTGTAGCCAAATTCTGATCAAAATCTTTCTTTGCTGGTGAGATTCTGCCAAGTCCATTTTGATTGACTATTTGGCCAAATTCATGGATGTTTCCATGGATCCCTTCAGTAAGGGATTGGCACCGACTCCGCTTTGTTTGATTATTTTCCTTGGACAGATTGACAGCACTCCCTGACACGATCCAGGGTTTTCCGTTCACCATCCCATTGTGATTGCTAATGTCATTGCTCATGTTCAAATGGTCACAGCTGCTCCAGGGCTTCTTGTTCCTGCAAGTCATGTCAAATAGCACAATATCCTCCTCCTTGGGTTCATGGAAGCCATTTTGGAATGGTTGGGCAGTCTTGTCTCTCCAAGGATGTGAGGGTATGTGGAACTGACTGGTGTGAATGTCTTTGGGGTTCCAAACCCCATGGTTCTGCCAGGATGATTGTCCATTTGCTGGCTGTATGTACCCTTGCCTTGTCTGGTAACACTCCTGAACTTGAGCAGAGAGGGATTCGCTGAGGGCATAATCATTAAGCTGTTGCCAAAGGAGGGCCTCTATGAGAAGCTGATGCTCATAGAGCTCAGGAGGAATGACACCATACTCTGCAAAGTTGTACAACAGGTCCTGGTACCCATACTCTTCTGCTGTGCCATACAACAGACGGTGGACTTCCTCCAGATAGCGTTGGGTTGGGGATACGGCAGGATCCTGTCCATTATGAACATATTGTGGCACCTGACTGCCAGAGGTGTCCAAACTTGTTGGGATGGTTGGAGCAGCACTAGGAGCAGCACTAATGGGAATTTCATCTTTGTTTTGTTTTGGAAGTAAACGATCAAGGAAACCTGGCGAGCTGCCACTTGTACTGGTCTTCGGTTCCTCCTTGCTAAGCGGGGAGATGGGTATCTCCTGTGCCTTGGTTGTTGGTGCCTCCTCCATTGCACCAAAGAGTCCAGATAGAAATCCTTTCTGTGATCCCTTCGGGTCTTTTTCACCCACACCATCCTGCGAGGACTGGACCTCCACCTGCTTGGTCCGCTGAATCTGTGGCCGGCCTTGTCCAGGCTTAGCTGGACCACCTGGACGTGTCTGCTGTTGTTGCTGCAGAGGTTGTTGAGGTGGTGTCTGCTCCTCTGTGGTGGTTGTGAGCTTGTTAAACAGTCCAGATAACAGTCCACCTGATTCAGCCTGAGGTAGATTCTGGACAAGCTTGTTTGGCGGCTGACCAGTTTGACCTGCTTGCTGAGCTGCTCCCTGTTGAGGAGTCTGTCTGTTGGCTTGTTGTTGAGGCTGTGCAGGGGGTGGCTGGTTAGGGGTAGGAGTTTCAGGAGTGCCCATGCCGAAAAGCCCAGAGAGGAATCCACCTTGTTGGGCAGGTGGTTGTTGGGGTGGGGGCTGCTGCTTTTGAGCTTGTCCTTGGCCTGGAGCATTTGGCCGATTACCCTGCTGGGGAGCGGGCTGTGGTGGAGGCGGTTGGGGGGCACCGAAAATCCCTGATAGCCCTGACATGAATCCTCCCTGCTCAGGGGCAGCAGCAACAGGCTGTGGAGGAATCTGATTTTGCCTCTGCAAGGGCTGCCTGTTACCCTGTTGCTGCTGTTGCTGTAGGTTTGGTCGACTGCTAGGTGATCCCTGTTGTTGCTGGGGTCGTTGTTGTTGTGGTTGTTGTTGTGGAGGGGGCGGACCTGAGGAAAATAGCCCAGACAGGAAACCGCCCTGTTGGGCTGGTGGTTGCTGAGGTGCATTCTGACCTGGCCTAGGCTGTTGCTGCTGGCCAGGTTGAGCCCCAGGTGGTGGCTGAGGGGGGCCCGGGTCTACAAGCTTATTGAAGAACCCTGACATCATCCCACCGGGACCACTAGGGGGCTGCTGCTGCTGCTGCTGGGGGTTCTGCCTGCTAGCTTGCTGCTGATTCGGCTGACTCCCAGGAGGGCCAGGTGGTTTCTGCTGCGGAGACGGAGGGGCTTGGTTAGCTGTGGCGTCACCCATGCCAAACAGGCCAGAGAGGAACCCACCTTGCTGGGCAGCTGGTTGTTGAGGTGGGGGTTGTGTTTGATTAGGCGCTTGGCTGCCTGGTGCTGGTTGAGCTGGTGCTGGTTGAGGTGGCGTTGGCTCTACTGACTCTACTATCTTATTAAAGAACCCAGACAGCATTCCACCTGGCTGCGGAGTTGGTGGAGGTGCTGCTTGCTGAGGTGGGTTCTGAGATGGTTGGTCGGTTTGCTGGTTTAGTGGTTGCTGATCTGGACCCTCTGGTTGTTGCTGCTGCTGCCTCTGACCAGCTACTGTTGAGGGAATGTTTTCTGTAGAGCCTAATTTCATCAACCCTGACAGAAATCCTCCTGATTGACTTGGAGGAGCAGTACCTTGTGTGGTGGCTTGTTCTGGCCCTTGCCTGTTAGGTTGCTGCTGATCAGTCTGTCCATGTTGGGACTCTGGTGTTGGCTGAGGGGGTTGGGAACCAGCCACAGTGTCAGAGGCCATTTTCATAAACCCAGAGAAGATTCCTCCAGATTGAATGGGGGGTGGGGGAGTGGCAGATTTTGGTGGAGGGCTTTGGTTTGTATTTAATGGAGTTTGGATAGCTTGGCTGCCTGGAGGAACAGACTGTGGCTGTGTTGCAGGGGCAGACACACTATCAGACGCGAACTTCATAAAGCCAGAAAACATACCTCCCTGTTGTGGAGTTGCAGCCGCTTGTTTCGTCTGATTCTGGGTTTGATTGTTGGTTGGCGGTGGACCTGAAGAAAACAGCCCAGAGAAACCAGAGAGCAAACCCTGAGGCTGTGCTTGGGGCTCCGTCTGGGTTGTCGGTTTAGCTTCTTCCAGAGGCTTGGGAAGTTCCTGGCTTTGGTCTTTAGTGGTCACATCCTTTTGAAGTTGTGATGTAGCATCACCTGGTTGTTGATCTCCAGGATCTGCACCAGGAACTGTGATTTCTTGTTTTTCTGGGGTCACTGGAGTTGCAGGTGTCACAGTAGGAGTGGCAGGTACGGGGGCCGGTGGCTTTACAGCAGCTTGCGGAGGTGGCTCATTCGGGGGAGCTTTGAAGAGGTTAGAGAACCACCCTGTGTCCGGGTTTCCTTTGGGTACACTTTCAAGGAGTGCGGCGCGGCTAAGAGCAGGAGAAGGGGTCCTCGCAGAGCTGGGTTGGGGCGCTTTAGGGGCATTGACATCCTCCCCAGAGGCAAACTTAAGGAAGCCAGAAAGCATTCCCCCCTCTGCTTTGGGCGCCTCTGGAGATGGAGATCTGGAGAACATAGAGAACATTCCAGAAGGGGCAGGAGGTGTCTCAGTCTGGACCGGCGGCCCTTCTGGTGCTGCTGTTATGAGGCTGGTGAGGGATTTATTAAAACTGCTGAAGAACCCTGTGTCCTCTGCATTGGCCTGGCCTGCCGGCGGCTCACCATCAGGTTTTGGTTCAACGATAGCGGGTGCCTTTCTCGCCTGAATGTCAAGAATCTCTCCAGATGACTCAGTTTCTGGTAAAATCTCCACAGATCCACATTGTGATTCTGGGAGGAGCTCCGTGGATCCACCACTTCCTGATTCTGGGTATATCTCCACTGAGCCACTTGCTGTATCTGGGAGGAGTTCCACGGATCCACTACCTGACCTCTGGCAGCCTTGCCTCTCAGGACTCTTGGACCTATCCACAGATCCTTGTCTGGATGCACTGATCAACACAGGTCCCCTCCTCTGCTCCGCTGGTTGGGGGGATGTTTCTCCAGGAGATGGCTTTCTGGAGAAAAGACTCATGGGGCTGAGCTTTCCTAACATTGAGTCAACCATTGAAGGAGGCTGGTTAGTAGACTCAGGCATCTGGCCTTCTCTGCCTGGTGCCTGTTGGGGTTGTGGTGGACTCAGTGGACTAAGCCTTCCTAGCATTGAGCCAAACATGGAAGTAGGCTGGTTAGCGGTGGCCTCCAGAGTTTGGCCTTCAGTGCCTTCTGCTTGTGCCTCTTGGGGCCTTGAAGGACTAAGTCTTCCTAACATTGAATCTAACATCGAAGAAGGCTGGTTAGTGGTGGCCTCCTGAGTTTGGCCTTCAGTGCTTTGTGACTCTTGGGGTGTTGATGGACTCAGTGGACTAAGCCTTCCTAGCATTGAGCCAAACATTGAAGTAGGCTGGTTAGTGGTGGCCTCCTGAGTTTGGCCTTCAGTGCTTTGTGCCTCTTGGGGTGTTGATGGACTCAGTGGACTAAGCCTTCCCAGCATTGAGCCAAACATTGAAGTAGGCTGGTTAGTGGTGGCCTCCTGAGTTTGGCCTTCAGTGCTTTGTGCCTCTTGGGGTGTTGATGGACTCAGTGGACTAAGCCTTCCCAGCATTGAGCCAAACATTGAAGTAGGCTGGTTAGTGGTGGCCTCCTGAGTTTGGCCTTCAGTGCTTTGTGCCTCTTGGGGTGTTGATGGACTCAGTGGACTAAGCCTTCCCAGCATTGAGCCAAACATTGAAGAAGGCTGGTTAGTGGTGGCCTCCTGAGTTTGGCCTTCAGTGCTTTGTGACTCTTCGGGCCTCGAGGGGCTTAGCCGTCCTAGCATTGAGTCAACAAAATAGGTAGGTGTCGGCTCTGATGTCGGCACCTGAGATGAAGGTGGAACGACTGCAATTTGGGGAGTAGTGCCAGCAGGCTTGGGGATGAAGGAAAGCAGTTTGGAGATGCCAGACTCGGCCTGTGGTGGGGCTGGGGAGGTGGCTGGAGATGCAGTATCAGAGGCTGGTTCAGTTGCTTCAGCAGTCGGCTTGGAACCTGTGATGGAGCTAAACAACGAAGTCATTGAACTCATTGCATTCTTCACCCCGGCAATACCCTGCTCAACCGTTGTGTCCTCTTTAATTTCGGCTGGTTTGGCCTCTTCGCTCTTAGCCTCTTCGCTCTTAGACCTCCTCGCTCTTATCCTCCTCGCTCTTAGCCTCCTCGCTCTTAGCCTCCTCGCTCTTAGCCTCCTCAGACTGTGGTGGTTTCGCTCCGGTTGGCAATGCAGGAAGCTTCCTCCTGCTAGTCGACTTAGGCAGCGATCCATACTTGCTGATCTCCTCCTCCTTCTCAGTTAGATACTCAGACACGGAGTGTACCAGGTTCTGAAGTTCTTCCACTGTGTCATAGTATACCTCCTCTTTAGGCTCCTCCACCAGTCCATGTCCTGGATAGTAGCCCAGTCCTTGTCCTCCATACGGGGACGTGTACCCCTCTGGGTAGTAGTAGCTTTCATATTCATAAGTGACATCCCCATCCAGGAACGTCAGGTCATCCAGCTCTCCCTCGGACCCCAGGGAGAACTGCATCTCATCAGATCCCAGCGAGTCGTACTCACTCCTGCCCCTGAACCTGGCAGCCTCCTCCCTGGCGGCCTCCTCCTCCCGGAAGGCTGCGTAGTTCTCCAGTGTATCCCCCAACGATGTCTTGGCCCACATCCTGGTTTTATATAGGAGCCCCTCCTCAATGTTCAGCTTCTGACGGAGCTGCTTGACGGAGGGGATTATGTCGATCTCAGGAGGCGAGGTCTCGTCCTCGAAGCTGCCGGCTTCCTTATAGACCAGACGCACCTCCCCGCTGCCGAAGCCACGCCTCCGCCGCCTGCCAGTGCCATCTTCCTCCTCTACCTCCCCAGGAGACATGGCATCACACTCCATCGTCTGGTAGAACCTGGAGCCTTTGGCCTCTCCTCCAGGCCCACTGCTGATACGGTAGATAATGGTCTTGTCCTCATCCTCCCACTCCTTCTGCTCCGGCTCCAGGTAGTCATCCAGGACTCCACTCTCTGCCATCTTGTATTGGCTCTCCCAGTCCTCCACACCCATACCTGAGTCTACTGGGATTATCCTGACCCTGTTCATACTGTTGGACCGTCTACACTCAGACAGAAATGAAGAGATAGAGAAAGAGAGAGAGAGAGAGAGCCATGCAGAGAGGAATGGAAAATCATGCAAAAGAAGACAAATATAAACAAAGGTTAGCAGTGATAAAATAAATACATTCTCAAGAAGACAGTGTGAAGTATTATAAAAGTAATGAATAACAAATCAAAAAGGACAGAAATTAAAATGCTGGGTGAAGTTGTATGCATTTGTGGTGGTGATATTTTGCATTTTCCCTAATATCAGAACATTTGTTCTGCAATGTTCTGCAGTAATTTCATTCAAGATGACAACCATAAATGTTGTGGCAGGAGTTATTAAATACATATACACAACCATCTAAGGCTGTGTTTTTTCTGCACATCGGACAAAATTGATTAGTTCAGAACCAATCACATTTCCTTTTACAGACATTATTCTCAATTCAAACCACCAGTAAACAACGTTACCTGGCAACCTATTGCGAGTGTGTGTTCGTTGTATGTGTGCGTGTGCATGCCTGTGTGTGCGTGCTTATGTGCGTGTGCATTCGGAAAGTATTCAGACCCCTTGACTTTATACACATTTTGTTACGTTACAGCCTTATTCTAAAATTGATTAAATAAATAAAAATCGTCATGAATCTACACACAATACCCCATAATGACAAAGCAAAAACAGGTTTTTGAAATGTTTGCACATTTATTAAAAATAAAAAACAGAAATACCTTATTTACTAAGTATTCAGACCCTTTGCTATGAGTTTCGAAATTGAGCTCAGGTGCATCCTGTTTCCATTGATCATCCTTGAGATGTTTTTACAACTTGATTGGAGTCCACCTGTGGTAAATTCAAATGATTGGACATGATTTGGAAAGGCACACACCTGTCTATATAAGGTCTCACATGTCATGACTGACCACGAGAATCCAAAATTTTTCAGATCAGGTTTGCAATGAATAACTTCAAATCAGACCCCCTCTCACCCATAGAGGGGGAAGGAAAGAACTAGTGGGGATTAACAACTCACGTCCTGTTGTAAATCAAGGGAGAAGATCCAGGCCTGTACTCTCCAAACTCACCAAAGGAATGTGCTTGGTCTCAACAGACCCTTTTTCCCGCTGAAACTCTTAACACGTTCAAAAGTGAATACTCGAACAATATTTCTAACGTAGAACATGGGGAATGGTCAGAGGCAATCTATAGAACAGTAATGTCATTTTGTTTGTTATTTTGTGATGTCCTTAAAAATGGTATAAAAGGAAATACTGTAACTTGGAAAGTATACCCACTACATAGATGAAGTTTCCATACTATGGGTTGTGCATGTAATTTGAAAAATGCTGAAAGTGTTTCTGTTAAGACAGGGATGTGATTTGAGAAGTTATAAGAGATAATTGTTTTCCATAACTTTGCTCCGAAGTGAGGTCAGGGAGCATGCCAGCCTGCCGGAACCGCCCCTTTCGAGCAAAAGGTCTAAATGATGGGTTACGAATTAACACATTAGACCAGAAAAGCGTGAAGCTGCAGCTGCACGTTTAAAATGGTTTGAAATTTGAATCTCAACACGAGGTGGAGACGATAAACTCAACTCCCAGACAATCACTGGTACGGCTGATTAGCTGTCCTAAGTAAAGCGAATTTAAGTAGGACCATCCTGTTACTTTGCTCAAACCATCGTATTATGCTACTCATCACCCCACTGGGGAACCATCGATACGGCTGGCTAGCCTATCTTCAAAGAAGCATCTTCAAGAGCGAATAGAAGGAAAATCAACTCTGTAGTTCTGTTCACGACTACGAAGAAAGACAACAGGAGAAGAGTTGTTAGAACCATTTCGGACAATCAGAGCCTTACAAGCGTGCCGTGAAAGGGCCCAACCCCCTTTCCAAGGCTGCCCCGTTCACCCAGAGATCCCCGGCGAACCCAGGCATGTCACGTAAATACATTCATGATTTCTTGATCAAAGAGGGCGGCGGTTTGTGTGCAAAGTATATGGTTACTGTAGGTGAGAGTAGTTTCTGAATGTGGCAATGTTAAGTGTCTCTGTCCCGCTTTCTCCCTCTCCATCTCTTCTTTAACAAGCATCCATGTTGTTGTCATTCCGCTAGGGACCTGTTTTCAGCGTATTAATTATCCAGCCAATAACCGGTGCAGAGTGTGTGTGTTTATCCTGTGTTCCCATTTAATTAGCTAGTAAAAAAAATAATTAAACCAATTTGTGTAGCACTGAATCATAAGTAAGGCTCTGGTTTTTTGCAGATGCAAGGAGGTTACGACTGTTCAGAATGATGATATGATACGAGGTTATGATTAATAAGTTGCCTGTTTATAGATGTGATAGGTAAAGACCTTTCAGAGTTTAATTCAGGAGATGGTGACTCTTTAAAGAACCGCTCTCGTGGTGCCCCTGATCCTAATGAGTTAATCAAATCAAATTTTATTGGCCACATGCGCCGTATACAACAGGTGCAGACATTACAGTGAAATGCTTACTTACAGCCCTTAACCAACAGTGCATTTCTTTTTAATAAAAAAGTAGAATAAAACAACAAAAAAAGTGTTGAGAAAAAAGAGCAGAAGTAAAATAAAATAACAGTAGGGAGGCTATATATACAGGGGGGTACCGGTGCAGAGTCAATGTGCGGGGGCACCGGCTAGTTGAGGTAGTTGAGGTAATATGTACATGTGGGTAGAGTTAAAGTGACTATGCATAAATCATTAACAGAGTAGCAGCAGTGTAAAAAGATGGGGTGGGGGTGCAAATAGTCTGGGTAGCCATGATTAGCTATTCAGGAGTCTTATGGCTTTGGGGGTAGAAGCTGTTGAGAAGTCTTTTGGACCTAGACTTGGCACTCCGGTACCGCTTGCCGTGCGGTAGCAGAGAGAACAGTCTATGACTAGGGTGGCTGGAGTCTTTGACAATTTTGAGGGCCTTCCTCTGTTAATTGTTACATGATTCATTTAGTCAGGTAACAATTAAACATATTTAGTTAATTAGATAAATAACAGTCTTCAGATTAATGTTAAAGTCAAGTCACGACACACAGTTGACAGTGCATGTAAGAGCAAAAACCAAGCCATGAGGTCGAAGGAATTGTCCGTAGAGCTCCGAGACAGGATTGTGTCAAGGCACAGATCTCAGAAAGGGTACCAAAAAATTTCTGCAGCATTGAAGGTCCCCAAGAACACAGTGGCCTCCATCATTCTTAAATGGAAGCAGTTTGGAACCACCAAGACTCTTCCTAGAGCTGACCGCCCGGCCAAAGTGAGCAATCGGGGGGGAAGGGCCTTGGTCAGGGAGGTGACCAAGAACCCGATGGTCACTCTGACAGAGCTCTAGAGTTCCTCTGTTGAGATGGGAGAACCTTCCAGAAGGACAACCATCTCTGCAGCTCTCCACCAATCAGGTCTTTATGGTACAGTGGCCAGACGGAAGCCACTCCTCAGTAAAAGGCACATGACAGCCCTCTTGGAGTTTGCCAAAAGGCACCTAAAGACACTCAGACCATGAGAAACAAGATTCTCTGGTCTGATGAAACCAAGATTGAACTCTTTGGCATGAATGCCATGCGTCACGTCTGGAGGAAACCTGGCACCATCCCTACGGTGAAGCATGGTGGTGGCAGCATCATGCTTTGGGGATGTTTTTCAGCAGCAGGGATTGGGAGACTAGTCAGGATCGAGGCAAAGACGAATGGAGCAAATTACAGAGAAATCCTTGATGAAAACCTGCTCCAGAGCGCCCAGGACCTCAGACGGGGGTGAAGGTTCACCTTCCAACAGGACAACAACCCTAAGCACACAGCCAAGACAACGCAGGAGTGGCTTCGGGACAAGTCTCTGAATGTCCTTGAGTGGACCAGCCAGAGCCCGGACTTGAACCCGATCGAACATCTCTGGAGAGACCTGAAAATAGCTGTGCAGCAACGCTCCCCATCCAACCTGACAGAGCTTGAGAGGATCTGCAGAGAAGAATGGGAGAAACTCCCCAAATACAGGTGTGCCAAGCATGTAGCGTCATACCCAAGAAGACTCGAGGCTGTAATCGCTGCCAAAGGTGCTTCAACAAAGTACTCATTAAAGGGTCTGAATACTTATGTAAATGTCTTATTTCATTTTGGTTGTTTGTTGTGCGAAACATTTCTAAAAATCTGTTTTTGCTTTGTCATTATAGGGTATTGTGTGCAGATTGATGAGGGAAAAATACGATTTAATCCATTTTAGAATAAGGCTGTAACCTAGCAAAATGTGGAAAAAGTCAAGGGGTCTGAATTCTTTCCGAAGGCACTGTGTGTGTGTGTGTGTATGTGTGTGTATGTGTGTGGTTGTGTGTATGTGTGTGTGTGTGTGTGTATGTGTACCTGTGCCCCCTGGCTTCTCTGTAGTCCAGCTCATAGCTGTGTATGGAGTCAGTGTCTCTGGAGAGGGATGGGTGCTGCACCCGCCTGTGTCCTATGGGGTACTGGTGCACCGAAGAGTTGGGCTGGGGAGTGGTGTGGTACCGAGGGGGGCGATGATGGCTTCCCCCTTCACTCCTGTAGTCACTGTCACGATCATCCACCGCACTGTCGCGGTCATCATAAGCTGTAGGGGAGTGGGGGGGGGTTGATTAACACAGTGGGGAATGATGACCCAAGTAAACCACACACTAACCACACACACACACACACACATAACACATACAGACATGTAGAGGTCTGTAATTTTTATCATAGGTACACTTCAACTGTGAGAGACGGAATCTAAAACAAAAATCCAGAAAATCACATTGTATGATTTTTAAGTAATTCATTTGCATTTTATTGCATGACATAAGTATTTGATACATCAGAAAAGCAGAACTTAATATTTGGTACAGAAATCTTTGTTTGCAATTACAGAGATCATACGTTTCCTGTAGGTCTTAACCAGGTTTGCACACACTGCAGCAGGGATTTTGGCCCACTCCTCCATACAGACCTTCTCCAGATCCTTCAGGTTTCGGGGCTGTCGCTGGGCAATACGGACTTTCAGCTCCCTCCAAAGATTTTCTATTGGGTTCAGGTCTGGAGACTGGCTAGGCCACTCCAGGACCTTGAGATGCTTCTTACGGAGCCACTCCTTAGTTTGCCCTGGCTGTGTGTTTGGGGTCGTTGTCATGCTGGAAGACCCAGCCACGACCCATCTTCAATGCTCTTACTGAGGGAAGGAGGTTGTTGGCCAAGATCTCGCGATACATGGCCCCATCCATCCTCCCCTCAATACGGTGCAGTCGTCCTGTCCCCTTTGCAGAAAAGCATCCCCAAAGAATGATGTTTCCACCTCCATGCTTCATGGTTGGGATGGTGTTCTTGGGGTTGTACTCATCCTTCTTCTTCCTCCAAAACACGGCGAGTGGAGTTTAGACCAAAAAGCTCTATTTTTGTCTCATCAGACCACATGACCTTCTCCCATTCCTCCTCTGGATCATCCAGATGGTCATTGGCAAACTTCAGACGGGCCTGGACATGCGCTGGCTTGAGCAGGGGGACCTTGCGTGCGCTGCAGGATTTTAATCCATGACGGCGTAGTGTGTTACTAATGGTTTTCTTTGAGACTGTGGTCCCAGCTCTCTTCAGGTCATTGACCAGGTCCTGCCGTGTAGTTCTGGGCTGATCCCTCACCTTCCTCATGATCATTGATGCCCCACGAGGTGAGATCTTGCATGGAGCCCCAGACCGAGGGTGATTGACCGTCATCTTGAACTTCTTCCATTTTCTAATAATTGCGCCAACAGTTGTTGCCTTCTCACCAAGCTGTTTGCCTATTGTCCTGTAGCCCATCCCAGCCATGTACAGGTCTACAATTCTATCCCTGATGTCCTTACACAGCTCTCTGGTCTTGGCCATTGTGGAGAGGTTGGAGTCTGTTGATTGAGTGTGGTGGACAGGTGTCTTTTATACAGGTAACAGTTCAAACGGTGCAGTTAATACAGGTATGAGTGGAGAACAGGAGGCTTCTTAAAGAAAAACTAACAGGTCTGTGAGAGCTGGAATTCCTTACTGGTTGGTAGGTGATCAAATACTTATGTCATGCAATTAAAATGCAAATTAATTACTTAAAAAATCATACAATGTGATTTTCTGGATTTTTGTTTTAGATTCCGTCTCTACAGTTGAAGTGTACCTATTATAAAATTACAGACCTCTACATGCTTTGTAAGTAGGAAACCCTGCAAAATCGTCAGTGTATCAAATACTTGTTCTCCCCACTGTATACACTACCAGTCAAAAGTTTGGACACCTACTCATTCAAGGGTTTTTCTTTATTTTTACTATTTTTTACATTGTAGAATAATAGTGAAGACATCAAAACTATGAAATAACACATATGGAATCATGTAGTAACCCAAAAAAGTGTTAAACAAATTAAAATATATTTTATATTTGAGATTCTTCAAATAGCCACCCTTTGCCTTGATGACAGCTTTGCACACTCTTGAATGAGTAGGTGTGTCCAAACGTTTGACTGGTACTGTATATATTCACACAAGCACACACACACTCATATGCACACATGAAATAACACATATGTAACAAGTTCAGCAAACACTAACAGAACTCAGTATCCAAATGATGACCGTGTTTGCCAGGCCGTCATTGTAAGTAAACATTTCTTATCTAACTCGCCTAGTTAAAAGGTGGACTCAGCAAGATGACGTTGCATGCAGGAAGTAGACACAATACCGGGTGAATTATCCACTACATCTAAGAGCGTTGAATCACAAGGCTAAACTTCTCCAGTGTTTTGGTCCTGTAGCTATACCACGTTGTAGCAGCGTGAACCGCACGTGTGCACATACATACTCTGTGTGACTGTGTGAGAGCCAAGTCTTGCATCGCATCTCATCTCAATATCTGTGGTGCTGCTCGTTGCAACGTGTCACTGAGTCTACCACTAAATAAAGGTTACATTTCTCCACCTTCTGTGGGTTTTTTTTTTTTTTAAGAATGAGAAACGTTTTTATAAACTTGCCTGCTAGCCAATTAATTACCCAACTGTCATGGCTGCCTGTCTATGAAGCCAATTAGCAACATAATTTTCCAGGAAGGTGTTACAATTATTTATTTTGTATTACAATTATTATCTATCAAACCACATTAGTAACACTATTTTTTTAGGAAAGAGTGGAGGTCTGGCTGTGAATATAAATTATAAAATCTCTCTCGTTATGCCATAATAATAGTGACAGTGTTCAATAACCAATGCTTATGATAGTGCGCAATGCTTATAATTGAAATGTTCTCAATCAAAACGTCATATGAAAACAGCATAGTCTAGTTAAGCCCAAGGACTGGTGTGATTTAGACCCAGTGCTGTGTTAAATTAACGTAGATCTCAATTATTAACTCTCTCAATATTGTTTTATGAAACAATGGATTAGTGGGATAAGCTTACATAAATTAATTTCAATATTTTCATTCTGAGTTTGATTTTCTGTCAGACTCTGAAGTCAGCGAGGATTAAATGTGAATAGTGAAGGACATCTCAGGCAGAAGAAGAAAAGGTCCGTTTTAAACTCAAAGCCCAGCTAGGTACAGCTTTGAGCTGTGAGAGCCAAGAGCGCCCTCTAGCGGGCTAACATGGGGTTACAGAGAACCTGAGAAGCTGGTCTCTACGAAACACCTTGTTCATAGTGGGCATTCTCTTCTAGTTATTTGACCAGGCAGATGAGAGAGACCGAGCGAGAGACCGAGCGAGAGAGGAGAGAAAGAGAGAGATGTGCCTGAAAGCCCTTGATGACAAACAGACCAGATGCACTGGTCACAAGGGGACTCCAAAGAAACAGAGGAATGCATTAGGAGGAATACAACACCAGATAAAAGTGATGTGAGGGAAAGTACATACTCTGCTGTTCACTCTGCTGTTCACTCCATCCAAAATAAGTCCAGTTGCCTGGTGGTGAGGGAGAAAGTGTTCAAGAAACCAAAACCAGAGTGGAGGAGGACATGAAGGAAGGGTGAAGAATACTGCGGCTGTTTAAAACAACATTACATCTTCCAGTGAAGCGGATATTGTGTTACAATCATGCTGTGGCATCACATTTCCCCAAAACATTGAAAGCAAAATCTGTCATCTAAAAAATAATCGAAACAATATTGTGAATGTGATGAAGTGACCAAAACGTGCAATGCCATGGTGCCTCACCAAATATGAAAAAGCACACGCTCACAGACGGTGACGATACATTAGGAAGAGAGATGTGAAACAGAGACAGGAGGACGTGGAATGAGAGCGAAGGACAAAAGGAAAAAGCACACGCTCACAGACGGTGAGGATACATCAGGAAGAGAGATGTGAAACAGAGACAGGAGGACGTGGAATGAGAGCGAAGGACAAAAGGAAAAAGCAGTAAAGTTGACAAGATGTCAGAAGACGGATGTTCAAGGTAGAATCCGAAAAGCTTGTCCACAACATCAGTTTCACCACTGTTACTCAACTCGCTCATATGCACGTACGTACGCACGGACGTCCCAAAAAAAGAATGAGCCATCTCTTCAGCACATTATGTAGGAATGAACTTTTATGGCAATGAGGGTGAGAATGAAATATGTGCACACGCACACACACACACACACACACACACACACACACACAGATGCAAACACACACACACACACAAGCCATACTTACAGCACTGAGAAGGTGCAGACGCCATTCGCCTTCTTTGAACTTCTTCCTGCAATGGATACTGGAAAATGAGAGAAAAATTAAATTAAAATGATTAATGAAAAAATAATGTAAGTAGCAAGAGCAATAAAGTCATATTTCTTTAGAAATAACCCTAATCCTAGTATCACTTCATTCACAAAAATACAGTGGGGTTTAATCCGCTTTTATGATCAGATTATGCAATGTAATGAGTAAAATCAGCTGTATGTATGAATTTGTAGTAACAGAGTACGACCACAAGGTGGTATCCATGAGCTAAACCAGCCAGAGAACATCCCAGCTCTACATCCTGAGGACAACTATACACGACACCACAATAAAACATTCAGGAGACTCCTCTTCACAACATGAACCTCCTACCCAGCTGCTGGGAGGCTAAACAAACAGCAATGTTCTCTATGTTCTAAGACTTTACTGGCATGACTTTATGGACAATGGACAAACAAAACACAAAAAAAGGAAAGAAAATAAATAAATAAAACAGAACACATCATCGTTGGATTTCCTGTGAAGCTGTTGAGAGGCTAGCAGTGATGTGGGATGAGAGCAGCCAGACAGCCTTGTGGAGAGAAAGACAGACTGTTGTGGTAGGTGTGGTGGTAATGTGAAGAGGAAGAGATTTGTAGTAGTTGTGTTAGTTGTGGTAGTTGTGGTAGGTAGCTATGGTAAGTGGGGTGATGGTGTGATCCAGAGTGTGGATGTTACGTACCTCATGTATCCTCATGGTGTTGATTCGATCCAGCTTTTTGGTCCAGTACTGGGCCTCGTCATCTGGGATATCTTATGGAAAGACCGAGAGAACGAGAGAGAGAGAGAGAGAACGAGAGCGAGACAGAGAGACAGAGACAAAGACAGAGACAGAGAGAAAGAGGATGGTAAGAGAAGGAAAGTTTCGAAAACACAAAAATGTGGGAGTGAAAGTAGGACAAAAACAGAGAAAGTGAAAGACAGAAGGAGAGGACCAGACCGCAGTACTGAGAGGCAGAGCTCCGCCCATTCCTTCAGCCCTCTTTGCTATTTCCATCTCATCCCAGGCAGGGAGCAGAGAGTGCATCCATCTCATATTCATGCTTTTTAATACAATATGAGATCCCTTAGTTTCCTGGCTCCTACAGAATAGACAGACACACAGGGATCCCTTAGTTTCCTGGCTCCTACAGAATAGACAGACGCACAGGGATCCCTTAGTTTCCTGGCTCCTACAGAATAGACAGACGCACAGGGATCCCTTAGTTTCCTGGCTCCTACAGAATAGACAGACACACAGGGATCCCTTAGTTTCCTGGCTCCTACAGTATTTTCTGAAATAGACCAGACCCTATACCACAGGGGCTGACGCCACCCAAACTCACCGGAGACTGTATATGGCAATAAGCAAACAGGAAAACGCTCATCCAGAGGCAGCGGGGACTTTAATGCAGGGAAACTTAAATCCGTTTGACCTCATTTCTACCAGCATGTTAAATGTGCAACCAGAGGGAAAAAAAACTCTAGACCACCTTTACTCCACACAGAGACGCGTACAAAGCTCTCCCTCGCCCTCCATTTGGCAAATCTGACCATAATTCGATCCTCCTGATTCCTGGTTACAAGCAAACACTAAAGCAGGAAGCACCAGTAACTCGGTCAATAAAAAAGTGGTCAGATGAAGCAGATGCTAAGCTACAGGACTGTTTTGCTAGCACAGACTGGAATATGTTCCGGGATTCTTCCGATGGCATTGAGGAGTACACCACATCAGTCACTGGCTTCATCAATAAGTGCATCGATGACGTCGTCCCCACAGTGACTGTACGTACATACCCCAACCAGAAGCCATGGATTACAGGAAACATCCGCACTGAGCTAAAGGGTAGAGCTGCAGCTTTCAAGGAGAGGGACTCTAACCCGGAAGCTTATAAGAAATCCCGCTATGCCCTCCGACGAACCATCAAACAGGCAAAGCGTCAATACAGGACTAAGATCGAATCGTACTACACCGGCTCTGACGCTCGTCGGATGTGGCAGAGCTTGCAAACTATTACAGACTAAAAAGGGTAGCACAGCCGCAAGCTGCCCAGTGACACGAGCCAGACGAGCTAAATTAGACAAGTAACACTGAAACATGCATGAGAGCACCAGCTGTTCCGGATGACTGTGTGATCACGCTCTCCGTAGCCGATGTTAGTAAGACCTTTAAACAGGTCAAAATTCACAAGGCCACAGGGCCAGACGGATTACCAGGATGTGTACTCCGAGCATGCGCTGACCAACTGGCAAGTGTCTTCACTGACATGTTCAACCTCTCCCTGTCAAGGTCTGTAATACCAACATGTTTCAAGCAGACCACCATAGTCCCTGTGCCCAAGAACACTAAGGTAACCTGCCTAAATGACTACAGACCCGTAGCACTCACGTCTGTAGCCATGAAGTGCTTTGAAAGGCTGGTCATGGCTCACATCAACACCATTATCCCAGAAACCCTAGACCCACCTAATTTGCATATCGCCCCAACATATCCACAGATGATGCAATCTCTATTGCGCTCCACACTGCCCTTTCACACCTGGACAAAGGGAACACCTATGTGAGAATGCTATTCATTGACTACAGTTCAGCGTTCAACACCATAGTGCCCTCAAAGCTCATCACTAAGCTAAGGACCCTGGGACTAAACACCTCCCTCTGCAACTGGATCCTGGACTTCCTGACGGGCTGCCCCCAGGTGGTAAGGGTAGGTAACAACACATCCGCCACGCTGATCCTCAACACGGGGGCCCCTCAGGGGTGCGTGCTCAGTCCCCTCCTGTACTCCCTGTTCACTCATGACTGCATGGCCAGGCACGACTCCAACACCATCATTAAGTTTGCCGATGACACAACCGTGGTAGGCCTGATCACCGACAATGACGAGACAGCCTATAGGGAGGAGGTCAGAGATCTGGCCGTGTGGTGCCAGGACAACAACCTCTCCCTCAACGTGATCAAGACAAAGGAGATGATTGGAAGGAAAATGGATGACTACAGGAAAAAGAAGAGGACCGAGCACGCCCCATTCTCATCAACAGGGCTGTAGTGGAGCAGGTTGAGAGCTTCAAGTTCCTTGGTGTCCACATCACCAACAAACTAACATGGGCCAAGCACACCAAGACAGTCGTGAAGAGGGCACGACAAAACCTATTCCCCTTAAGGAGACTGAAAAGGTTTGGCATGGGTCCTCAGATCTTCAAAAGGTTCTACAGCTGCACCATCGAGAGTATCCTGACTGGTTGCATCACTGCCTGGTATGGCAACTGCTCAGCCTCCGACTGCAAGGCATTACAGAGGGTAGTGCGTTCGGCCCAGTACATCACTGGGGCCAAGCTTCCTGCCATCCAGGACCTCTATATCAGGCGGTGTCAGAAGAAGGCCCTAGAAATTGTCAAAGACTCCAGCCACCCTAGTCATAGACTGTTCTCTCTGCTACCGCATGGCAAGCGGTACCGGAGCGCCAAGTCTAGGTCCAAGAGGCTTCTAAATAGCTTCTACCCCCAAGCCATGCGACTCCTGAACATCTAATCAAATGGCTACTCTGACTATTTGCATTGCATTGTTTATTATAGACACTTTAATAACTCTACCTACATGAACATATTACCCCAATTACATTGACTAACCTGTACCCCCTGCACATTGACTCGGTACCGGTACCCCCTGTATATAGCCTCGCTATTGTTATTTTTACTGCTGCTCTTTAATTATTTGTTACTTTTATTTAGTATTATTTTATATTATATTTTTTTGTATTTTTTTGTGTGTATTCTTTCTTAAAACTGCATTGTTGGTTAAGGGCTTGTAAGTAAGCATTTCACTGTAAGGTCTACCTACACCTGTTGTATTCGGCGCATGTGACGAATACAATTTGATTTGATTTGACCAGGACTGTTTGTGTGTGTTTTGAGGATACCGACGCTCACATTAAGTCTACTTCTAAGCTCCAAAAGAACAACAGGACACTCCTTGCTCTGAGGGTCCTTTGACAGACAAGGTGTAGACAAGCTAAGGAGAAATGCTCTTAATTCAAACGGTCCTGTCATGCAAGCTCACAGTTTCACTGTTCCCAGGCTGTTCCACTGTTAAAAGAGAGCAGACACACAGAGGAGAGGCCTGAAGATGGAGATAAGATTGCACAACATTGACGTCACTTCCATCACACTTCCGCGTTGTCTCCGTGCTGCTGTACGGATCGTTGGTACTTGGCTACCTGCCACACTTTTCACTTTTAATAACTGTTTAATCAAAAGCTATGTATTTAACAAGTTAACCAATGTCTTAGTTTTGTCCTCACTATACTTTTTTTCTTTCAACTTTCTCACCACTGACACTTTATCTGGACATGGATCTGCTGGACCTCCACCAGCCTAAAAAGCTAGTTAACATTATGCCTTCTCATTGCAGTCGCTATTCTCATAATACGCAAAAGAGCTATCGCCTTACGGTGAGGATAGCCAAGTTGCAAGCCCGGCTTCAGACGCAATCGTTATCGTTAGGCAAGGGCAATTTAAGTGTAGGAAAGGATACAACAGCGTTTGTAAATACAAGTAGTAGTGTTAATTCCCCTGCACAGTCCCCGCAGCTGGACAATTTTCTCATGGCTTCTGGAAAGAAATGCTGTCGGCATGCTCAACCTGTGTCGCTCATTCAGCCGGCAGAAACTTTCAAACGTTTTTACCCATTAAGCAACGAGTCGGAGTCAGAGCCCAAGCCTTCTCCACCCGTTACGGGGTCTGAGCCCCCGAAGCCTCCCACCTATTAGCTCTGACTAATTGAAAACCCTAGTCATTGGCGACTCCATTACCCGTAATATTAAACTTAAAAAGAATCGTCGAGCGATCATATATTGTTTACCAGGGGGCTACCGACGTAATGGCGAGTGTAGAGAGTAGAGGGATATTGTTATCCATGTCGGCACCAACCATGTTAGGATGGAACAGTGAGAGGTCACCAAGCGCAACACAGCTTCAGCGTGTAACTCAGCTAGAAAGATGTGTCGGCATCGAGTAATTGTCTCTGGCCCCCTCCCAGTTAGGGGAAGTGACGAGCACTACAGCAGAGTCTCACAACTCAATCGCTGATTGAAAACTGTTTTCTGCCCCTCCCAAAATATAGAATCTGTAGATAATTGGCCCTCTTTCTGGGACTCCACCCACAAACAGGACCAAGCCTGCAGAGGAGTGACGTATTTTATCCTAGCTGGAGGGGTGCTCTCATCTTATCTATTAGCATAGACAGGTCTATATCTCCTCTAGCTCCACAATGAGACAGGGTGCAGGCCAGGCAGCAGCCTGACAGCTTAGCCAGCCTGCCACCTTAGTGGAGTCTGCCCTTGGCACAGTCAGCGTAGTCAGCTCAGTTATCCCCATTGAGACCGTGTCTGTGCCTCGATCTTAGTCGGCAAAACTAAACATGGCAGAGTTCGCCTTAGCAATCTCACTGGAATAAAGACTTCCACCATTCCTGTCATTATTGAAAAATATTGCGATAATACCACACATCTCAAAATAGGACTACTTAATGTTAGATCCCTTACTTCCAAGGCAGTCATAGTCAATAAATGAGGCCTCTCCCCCTGGTTACACCTAGAGACCATATCCCCCGCGCATCCGGCAAATGTTGCTAACATTTATGACAGCATTTTCGTCTTTTGAGGTTGTAGTCATGAAATCTATGCAGCCTACTCAATCACTTTTTATAGCTACTGTTTACAGGCCTCCTGGGCCGTATAGAGCCTATCGACATCGTAGTCATGGCAGATAATATATTACATTTTTTGGTGACTTCAATATTCACATGGAGAAGTCCACAGAGCCACTCCAAAAGGCTTTCGGAGCCATCATCAACTCAGTGGATTTTGTCCAACATGTCTCGGGTCCTACGCATTGCCACAATAATACCCTGGAATTAGTTTTGTTCTGTGAAATAGATATTGTGGAACTAAATGTTTTTTCTCAAAATCCTGGACCACCATCTTATTACGTTTGCAATCGCAACAAATCATTTGCTTAGACCCCAAACCAAGGATTATCAAAGCTACGCTATAAAATTGTCGGACAACCGATTCCTAGATGCCCTTCCAGAATCCCTCCACCTACCCAAGGACATCGGAGTACAAAAATCAGTTAACCACCTAACCGAGGATCTAAACTTAACCTTGGCGTAATAACCTAGATGCAGTCGCACCGCTAAAAACAAATTCACAAGAAACTAGCTCCCTGGTATACGGAAGACACCCCTTGAAGCATTATTCCAGACAATTGGAAAAGGAAAATGGCGCTCCACCAAACTGGAAGTCTTCTGGCTAGCTTGGAGAGACCTCACTACTGCTCAGTCTACTTTTTCAACCTGAGAATAAAAACAATCCTACATTCATTTTGTATACTGTCGAAAAAGTAAAAAGCAGCATTCCCCAAGTGAGGATGGCCTTCACTTCAGCAGGGATGAATTCATGATGAAAATATCATGATTAGAAAACAAATCACGGAGGACCTCTTTGAATATGCGTATTTCTCAAAAATTCTGTTGTCCCGAGTCTGCACAGAACTACCAGGACCTCGGATCAATGGAGACACTCAAGTTTCTTTATCTTGTATCTCTCAACACATTAACAAAAAAAGTAATGGCCTCTAAACCTTCCAGCGGTCTACTGGACCCTATTCCAACTAAACTACTGAAAGAGCTACTTCCTGTGCTTGGCCCTCCATTGTGCAAGTTCTCCCACTTAAAAAGATGAGAGGCCTGTAATTTTCATCATAGGTACACGTCAACTATGACAGACAAAATGAGAATTTTTTTTCCAGAAAATCACATTGTAGGATTTTTTATTAATTTATTTGCAAATTATGGTGGAAAACAAGTATTTGGTCAATAACAAAAGTTTCTCAATACTTTGTTATATACCCTTTGTTGGCAATGACACAGGTCAAACGTTTTCTGTAAGTCTTCACAAGGTTTTCACACACTGTTGCTGGTATTTTGGCCCATTCCTCCATGCAGATCTCCTCTAGAGCAGTGATGTTTTGGGGCTGTCGCTGGGCAACATGGACTTTCAACTCCCTTCAAAGATTTTCTATGGGGTTGAGATCTGGAGACTGGCTAGGCCACTCCAGGACCTTGAAATGCTTCTTACGAAGCCACTCCTTCATTGCCCGGGCGGTGTGTTTGGGATCATTGTCATGCTGAAAGACCCAGCCACGTTTCATCTTCAATGCCCTTGCTGATGGAAGGAGGTTTTCACTCAAAATCTCACGATACATGGCCCCATTCATTCTTTCCTTTACATGGATCAGTCGTCCTGGTCCCTTTGCAGAAAAACAGCCCCAAAGCATGATGTTTCCACCCTCATGCTTCACAGTAGGTATGGTGTTCTTTGGATGCAACTCAGCATTCTTTGTCCTCCAAACACGACGAGTTGAGTTTTTACCAATAAGTTCTATTTTGGTTTCATCTGACCATATGACATTCTCCCAATCCTCTTCTGGATCATCCAAATGCACTCTAGCAAACTTCAGACGGGCCTGGACATGTACTGGCTTAAGCAGGGGGACACATCTGGCACTGCAGGATTTGAGTCCCTGGCGGCGTAGTGTGTTACTGATGGTAGGCTTTGTTCCTTTTGTCCCAGCTCTCTGCATGGCATTCACTAGGTCCCCCCGTGTGGTTCTGGGATTTTTGCTCACCGTTCTTGTGATCATTTTGACCCCACGGGGTGAGATTTTGCGTGGAGCCCCAGATCGAGGGAGATTATCAGTGGTCTTGTATGTCTTCCATTTCCTAATAATTGCTCCCACAGTTGATCTCTTCAAACCAAGCTGCTTACCTATTGCAGATTCAGTCTTCCCAGCCTGGTGCAGGTCTACAATTTTGTTTCTGGTGTCCTTTGACAGCTCTTTGGTCTTGGCCATAGTGGAGTTTGGAGTGTGACTGTTTGAGGTTGTGGACAGGTGTCTTTTATACTGATAACAAGTTCAAACAGGTGCCATTAATACAGGTAACGAGTGGAGGACAGAGGAGCCTCTTAAAGAAGAAGTTACAGGTCTGTGAGAGCCAGAAATCTTGCTTGTTTGTAGGTGACCAAATACTTATTTTCCACCATAATTTGCAAATAAATTCATTAAAAATCCTACAATGTGATTTTCGGGAATTTTCTTTATCAATTTGTCTGTCATAGTTGACGTGTACCTATGATGAAAATTACAGGCCTCTCTCATCTTTTTAAGTGGGAGAACTTGCACAATTGGTGGCTGACTAAATACTTTTTTCCCCCACTGTATGTCGAACATAATAAACAGCTTCCTATCCTCCGGATGTGTACCAAACTCACTAAAAGTGGCGGTAATAAAGCCTCTCCTGAAAAATCCAAACTTTCACCTGAAAAAACTAAAATAAAAACTATATCGGCCTACATCGAATCTCCCATTCCTCTCTATTTTATTTTGATAAAGCTGTTGTTCAGCACTGCCTCACTGAAGACAAATAATGTATACGAAACACTCCTGTCTGGTTTTAGACCGCATCATAGTACTGAGACCGCACTTGTGAATGTGGTAAATAACCTATTAATGGCGTCAGACCAAAGCTTTGAATCTGTCCTCGTGCTCCTAGACCTAAGTGTCGCTTTGAACACCATCTATCACCACATTCTTTTGGAGAGATTGGAAACCCTAATTGGTCTACGCGGACAAGTTCCTGCCTGTTGGAAAGGTATCATTTCATCTCTGTGGATGGTTTGTCCCCTGACAAATCAATGGTAAGTTTCGGTGTTCCTCAAGGTTCCGTTCTAGAACCACTATTGTTTTCAATATATATGCTACCTCTTTGTGATGTCATTCGGAAACACAAATGTCAACTTTCACTGCTATGCAGACGACACACAGCTGTACATTTTGATGAAACATGGTGAAGCCCCAAAATTGCCAACCCTGGAAGCCTGTGTTTTGGACATAAGGAAATGTTTATACTTCTAACTCGTACAAAACAGAGATGCTAGATCAAGGTCCCAAGAAACAAAGAGATCTGCTGTCAGATCTGACAATGTATCTCGATGGTTGTACAGTCGTCTCAAATAAAACTGTGAAGAACCTTTTGACAAACATATACAAATATTGCAAGAACAGCCTTTTTCCATCTTCGTAACATTGCAAAAATCTGAAACCTTTAGTCAAAAATTTTTGCAGAAAAGCTAATCCATGCTTTTGTCACTTCAAGATTAGACTGCAATGCTCTACTCTCCGGCTACCCGGATAAGGCACTAAATAAACTTCAGCTAGTGCTAAATACGGCTGCTAGAATCTTGACTAGAACCCCAAAATTAAATCATATTACTCCAGTGCTAGCCTCTCTACACTGGCTTCCTGTTGAGGCTAGGCATGATTTCAAGGTTTTACTGCTAACCTACAAAGCATTACATGGACTTGCTCCAACATATCTCTCCAATTTGGTCCTGCCGTACATACCTACACGTACGCTACGGTCACAAGACGCAGGCCTCCTTATTGTCCCTAGAATTTCTAAGCAAACAGCTGGAGGCAGGGCTTTCTCAAATAGAGCTACATTATTATGAAATGGTCTGCCGAGCCATGTGAGAGACGCAGACTCGGTCTCAACCTTTAAGTCTTTACTGAAGACTCATTTCTTCAGTAGGTCCTATGATTGAGTGTAGTCTGGCCCAGGGGTGTGAAGGTGAACGGCAAGGCACTGGAGTGACGAACCCCCCTGGCTGTCTCTGCCCCTAATATGGGCCTAATATGCTCGCGCTCTCCCATGCAGTCCTTAGGAGCGGTGCATCACGTCGTGCCAGGCTTTTCTCGCTACACTCGACTATTGTGGGTTGAGTCACTGACGTGATCTTCCTGTGGGCTCGTGTGGAGATCTTCGTGGGCTTTACTCTGCCTTTTCTTAGGGTAGTAAGTTAGTGGTCTGTTGATATCCCTTTGGTGGTGTGGGGGTTGTGCTTGGGCAAAGTGAGTGGGGTTATATCTTGCCTCGTTGGCACTATCCAGGGGTAACTTTGGACAGGGCCAAAGTGTCTCCCGACCCCCCCCCCCCCTGTCTCAGTCTCCAGTATCTATGCTGCAATAGTTTATGTGCTGGGGGGCTGGGGTCAGTCTGTCCTATCTGGTGTAATTCTTCTGTCTTATCTGGTGTCCTGTGTGATCTTAGGTACCACACCTCCTGTCCCTTTTCCAGCTCTCTCTCCCCCTCACTCTACCGCACCTGCTGTCCCTTTTCCAGCTCTCTCTCCCCCTCACTCTACCGCACCTGCTGTCCCTTTTCCAGCTCTCTCTCCCCCTCACTCTACCGCACCTGCTGTCCCTTTTCCAGCTCTCTCTCCCCCCCTCACTCTAAACCCGCACCTGCTGTCCCTTTTCCAGCCTCATCTCCCCCTACACTACTACCGCACCTGCTGTCCCTTTTCCAGCTCTCTCTCCCCCTCACTCTACCGCACCTGCGTCCTTTTCCAGCTCTCTCTCCCCCTCACTCTACCGCACCTGCTGTCCCTTTCCAGCTCTCTCTCCCTCTCACTCTAACCGCACCTGCTTGTCCCTTTTCCAGCTCTCTCTCCCCCCTCACTCTACCGCACCTGCTGTTCCCTTTTCCAGCTCTCTCTCCCCCTCACTCTACCGCACCTGCTGTCCCTTTTCCAGCTCTCTCTCCCTCACTTCGCACTCGTCCCCTTTCCAGCCTCTCTCCCATCTACCGCACCTGCTGTCCCTTTTCCAGCTCTCTCTCCCCCTCACTCTACCGCACCCTGCTGTCCCTTTTCCAGCTCTCTCTCCCCTCACTCTAACCGCACCTGCTGTCCCTTTTCCAGCGCTCTCTCCCCTCACTCTACCGTCACCTTCGTCCTTTTCCACTCTCTCTCCCCTCACCTACTGCACCTCTGTCCCTTTCACGCTCTCTCTCCCCCTCACTCTATCCACGCACCTGCTGTCCCTTTTCCAGCTCTCTCTCCCCCTCACTCTACAGCTGACAGTCTCCTCCATCTAACCGCACCTGCTGTCCTTTTCCAGCTCCTCTCCCTCCTCTCCCCCTCACTCCGCACTTCTATAACCAGCACCTGCTGTCCCTTTTCCAGCTCTTCTCTCCCCCTCACTCTACACCTGCTGTCCCTTTCCAGCTCTCTCTCCCCCTCACTCTACCGCAACTCTGTCCCTTTTCCAGCTCTCTCTCCCCCCACTCTACCCTCTCTCACCTCTTCACCTCTACCGCACCTGCTGTCCCTTTTCCAGCTCTCTCTCCCCTCCCTTTACTCACCACACACGCTGCTGTCCCTTTTCCAGCTCTCTCTCCCCCTCACTCTACCGCACCTGCTGTCCCTTTTCCAGCTCTCTCTCCCCCTCACTCTACCGCACCTGCTGTCCCTTTTCCAGCTCTCTCTCCCCTCACTCTACCGCACCTGCTGTCCCTTTTCCAGCTCTCTCTCCCCCTCACTCTATCTAACCGCACCTGCTGTCCCTTTTCCAGCTCTCTCTCCCCCTCACTCTACACACCATCTCCAACTCCAAGCTCTCTCTCCCTCACCGCTACGCACCTGCGTCCCTTTCCAGCTCTCTCTCCCCCTCACTCTCACCGCACCTGCTGTCCCTTTTCCAGCCTCTCTCTCCCCCCTCACTCTACGCACCTGCTGTCCCTTTTTCCAGCTCTCTCTCCCCCTCACTCTACCGCACCTGCTGTCCCTTTTCCAGCTCTCTCTCCCCCTCACTCTACCGCACCTGCTGTCCCTTTTCCAGCTCTCTCTCTCCCCCTCACTCTACCGCACCTGCTGTCCCTTTTCCAGCTCTCTCTCCCCCTCACTCTACCGCACCTGCTGTCCCTTTTCCAGCTCTCTCTCCCCCTCACTCTACCGCACCTGCTGTCCCTTTTCCAGCTCTCTCTCCCCTTCACTCTTACCGCACCTGTGTCCCTTTTCCAGCTCTCTCTCCCTCACTCTACCTTACCGCACCTGCTGTCCCTTTTCCAGCTCTCTCTTCTCCCCCTCAACTCTACCCCCCTGCTGCCCTTTCCAGCTCTCTCTCCCCTCATCTACCGCACCTGCTGTCCCTTTTCCAGCCTCTCTCCTCTCTCCCCTCACTCTAACCGCACCTGCTGTCCCTTTTCCAGCTCTCTCTCCCCTCATCTACCGACCTGTCCTTTCACTCTCTCATCCCTCACTCTACCGCACCTGCTGTCCCTTTTCCAGCTCTCTCTCTCCTCTCCCCCCCACTCTACACCGCACCTGCTGTCCCTTTTCCAGCTCTCTCTCCCCCTCACTCTCCGCACCTGCTGTCCCTTTTCCACGCTTCTCTCCCCTCTTACCGCACTGCTGTCCCTTTTCCAGCTCTCTCTCCCCTCACTCTTACGCACCTGCTGTCCCTTTTCCAGCTTCTCCTCCCCCTCACTCTAACCGCACCTGCTGTCCCTTTTCCAGTCTCTCCTCTCCCCCTCACTCTACCGCAACCTGCTGTCCCTTTTCCAGCTCTCTCTCCCCTCACTCTACCGCACCTGCTGTCCCTTTTCAGCCTCTCTCTCCCCTCACTCTAAACCGCACCTGCTGTCCCTTTTCCAGCTCCTCTCTCCCTCCTTCACTCTACCGCACCTGCTGTCCCTTTTCAGCTCTCTCTCCCCCCCCACTCTACCGCACCTGCTGTCCCTTTTCCAGCTCTCTCTCCCCCTCACTCTACCGCCACCGCTGTCCTTTTCCAGCTCTCTCTCACTCTAAACACTCCCCTCCCACTCTAACCCGCACCTGCTGTCCCTTTTCCAGCTCTCTCTCCCCCTCACTCTCACTACCGCACCTTCTGTCCCTTTTCCAGCTCTCTCCTCCCCCTCACTCTACCGCACCTGCTGTCCCTTTTCCAGCTCTCTCTCCCCCTCACTCTACCGCACCTGCTGTCCCTTTTCCAGCTCTCTCTCCCCCCTCACTCTACCGCACCTGCTGTCCCTTTTCCAGCTCTCTCCCCCCTCACTCTCGCACCTGCTGTCCTTTTCCAGCTCTCTCTCCCCTCACTCTACCGCACCTGCTGTCCCTTTTCCAGCTCTCTCTCCTCTCCCCCTCACTCTACCGCCCTGCTGTCCCTTTTCCACTCCTCATCTCCCCCTCCTTCTACCGCACCGCCTGTCACTTCCAGCTCTCTCCACTCACTCTACCGCACCTGCTGTCCCTTTTCCAGCTCTCTCTCCCCCTCACTCTACCGCACCTGCTGTCCCTTTTCCAGCTCTCTCTCCCCCTCACTCTACCGCACCTGCTGTCCCTTTTCCAGCTCTCTCTCCCCCTCACTCTACCGCACCTGCTGTCTCGACCTCTGAATACTCGGCTATGGAAAGCCAACTGACATTTACTCCGGAGTTGCTGACCTGTTGCACCCTATATAACCACTGTGATTATTATTTGACCCTGCCTGTCATCTATGAACGTTTGAACATCTTGAAGAACAATCTGGCTTTAATGGCCATGTACTCTTATAATCTCCACCGGCACAGCCAGAAGAGGACTGGCCACACCTCAGAGCCTGGTTCCTCTCTAGGTTTCTCCATAGGTTCCTGCCTTTCATGGGAGTTTCTCCTAGCCACTGTGTTTCTACATCTGCATTGCTTGCTGTTTGGGGTTTAAGGCTGGGTTTCTGTATAAGCACTGCTGATGTAAAAATGACTTTATAAATACATTTGATTGATTGACACAGACAACTTAAGTGTGGTCCTCTGTAGCTCAATTGGTAGAGCATGGCGCTTGTAACGCCAGGGTAGTGGGTTCGATCCCCGGGACCACCCATACGTAAAAATGTATGCACACATGACTGTAAGTCGCTTTTGATTAAAGCGTCTGCTAAATGGCATATTATATTATTATATTATTAAAACGGACATTACTGACACAGACAGGACCGAAGAATGTATATTTCTTCACGGGTATCCAAAGTATGTGTATTTTGGTGTGTGTGTGTGTGTGTGTGTGTGTGTGTGTGTGCATGTGTGTGTGAGTGCGTGGATACGTGCGTGTGCATGGCCCGTACCGAATGGCAGCTCATAGCGTGTGTCCAGCAGCACTTGGTGAGGTGTAGGGTTCATGGTGCCATAGATCTCCTCTTCCTTCATCAGGATCTCAGCATCCAGAGATATCCACTCACCTGGACCCTCCTAGAGAAAGAGAGGAGGGAGGGAGGGAGGGAGGGAGGTAGGGAGAGTGAGAGAGGTAGAGAGAGAGAGAGCGAGGTAGAGAGAGAGAGGTAGAGAGAATGGTAGAGAGAGAGCAAGGTAGAGAGAGAGGTAGAAAGAGAGAGAGAGAGGTAGAGAGCGAGAGAGAGGTAGAGAGAGCGAGAGAGAGGTAGAGAGAGCGAGAGAGAGAGGTAGAGAGGGGTAGAGAGAGCGAGGGAGAGGTAGAGAGAGCGAGCGAGAGGTAGAGAGAGAGAGGTAGAGAGGGGTAGAGAGAGCGAGGGAGAGAGAGAGAGAGGGGTAGAGAGAGCGAGGGAGAGAGAGAGAGAGGTAGAGAGAGGGAGGGAAAAGGGGGAAACAATAGGGGAGAAAAAGTTAATCAAAAAAGCTGTTGGGTTGTTAGGCACATGAGGCCTTCCTCTGGTACGTAATCTGAAAATCAAATCAAATTTTATTTGCCATATGCGCCGAATACAACAGGTGTAGACATTACAGTGAAATGCTTACTTACAAGCCCTTAACCAACAATGCAGTTAAAAAAAAGAAGAAAAAAAAGAAATAAATGGAAATAAATATGTAAAAAAATCACATTTGAGTTGAGATGAAGTGAAACACGGGGAGGTTTATAATTAAGGAATTTGTGGAGCACACCAAGCTTTAAAACGTCTCAGAGCAACCCAGATGCACTCACACACAGCATGCTAACACGCCTCATCCTTGTGTATCCTTATGTAGCCGATGTGAAACTGCTAGCTAGTTAGCTGTGTGAGTGCTAGTGGCAGCCATCTTGACGTGACCCACCCTGAGACATAGAGGTACTGTCACCCCTTTGCTTCTCTGGATCAGGCGGGTCACGTCAAGATGGCTGCCACTAGCACTCACACAGCTAACTAGCTAGCAGTTTCACATCGGCTACATAAGGATACAACGCCTTCGGAAAGTATTCAGACCCCTTGACTTTTTCCACATTTTGTTACGTTACAGCCATATTCTAAAAGGGATTAAAAAAAGAATAATCCTCAGCCATCAAACACACAATACACCATAATGACAAATCGAAAACAGGTTTTTAGAAATGTTTGCTGTGGTAAATTGTATCAAGCGTCTCAGATAGTAGTGCTGAAATAGGATCAGGTTCCTCTGTCCTGTAATCTTATTCGTTCTGATGAAAACTGATCCTAAAAAAACGCTTGATAAAAAACGACTGAGTTGTGTTGACTTCCATGCGGCTCCAGTTGTGTTGATTTCCATACGGCTCCAGTGGTGTTGACTTCCATACGGCTCCAGTGGTGTTGAATGTGTTTCTTGAGTTGAGATGTGTTAGCGTGAGTTTGCATCCACTCTGTTAGGATCCTTACCTTCTCTGACTGTCGGACGGTGTACAGGGGGGTGTCAAATAAATCAAATCAAAATAAATGTGTATTTATCAGATGCTTCGTAAACAGGTGTAGACTAACAGTGACATGCTTATGGGCCCTTTCCAACAACGCAGAGAGATAATAGAAATAATAACACAAGGAATAAATAATAACACAATGATAACTTGGCTATATACACAGGGTACCAGTACCGGGTCGATGAGTCAAAAGAGTTACTGCAAAAAGGGTCAACGCAAATAGTTAACCAAATAGGACTAACTATTTAGCAGTCTTATGGCTTGGGGGTAGAAGCTGTTCAGGGTCCTGTTGGTTCCAGACTTCGTGCATCGGTACCGCTTGCCGTGCGGTAGCAGAGAGAACAGTCTATGACTTGGGTGGCTGGAGTCGTTGGCAATTGTTAAGGGGCCTTCCTCTGACACTGCCTGGTATAGAGGTCCTGGATGGCAGGGAGCTCGGCCACAATGATGTACTGAGGCGTACGCACTACCCTCTGTAGCGCCTTGCGGTCGGAAGCTAAGCAGTTGCCATACCAAGCGGTGATGGAACCAGTCAAGATGCTCTCAATGGAGCAGCTGTATAACTTTTTGAAGATCTGAGGGCACATTAATCGGTTCAGCCTCCTGAGTGGGAAGAGGCGTTGTCGTGCTTTCTTCACGACTGTGTTGGAGTGTGTGGACCATGATAATTCCTTAGTGATGTGGACACCAAGGAACTTGAATCTCTCAAACCCGCTCCATTACAGCCCCATCAATGTGGATGGGGCGTGCTCGGCCATCCATTTCCTGTAGTCAACGATCAGCTCCTTTGTCTTGCTGACGTTGAGGGAGAGGTTGTTTCCCTGGTACCACACTGCCAGGTCACGGAGCTCCTCCCTATAGGCTGTCCCATCGTCATCTGTGATCAGGCCAACCACCGTCGTGTCATCAGCAAACAGCAAACTTAATGATAGTGTTGGAGTCGTGTGCGGCCAGGCAGTCATGGGTGAACAGGGAGTACAGGAGGGGACTAAGCACGTACCCCTGAAGGGCCCCCGGTTGAAAATGTCTTACTCACATTGGCTACGGAAAACGAGATCACACAATCGTCCCGGAACAACTGGTGCTCTCATAGGTGGTTCAGTGTTGCTTGCCTCGATATGAACATAGAAGGAATTGAACTTATCTTGTAAGCTAGTGTCACTTGGCAGCTCGCGGCTGGGTTTCCGTTTGTAATCTGTGATAGTTTGCAAGCCCTGCCACATCCGATGAGCATCAGAGCCGGTGTAGAATGATTTTATCTTAGTCCTGTACTGCCAGTTTGAATGTCTGATGGCTCGTCGGAGCTCTAGCCTTTAGCTCAGTGCGGATGTTGCCTGTAATCCATTGCTTCTGGTTGGGATATGAACGTATGGTCACTGTGGGGATGATGTCATCGATGCACTTATTAATGAAGCCTGTGACAGCAAGCAGTACCGATGCACCAAGTCTGTAACCAACAGGACCCTGAACAGCTTCTGACCCCAAGCCATAAGACTGCTAAATCGTTTGTTAAATAGTTTACCAATAGCTACCTGGACTATGTGCATTGACCCTTTTTGGACTAACTCTTGACTCATAACATATACTGCTGCTACAGTTTATTATCTCTCCTGTTGCCTAGTCACTTTATCCCTACCTATATGAACATATCTACCTCTGTGATGCGTGTGATAGAAGGAGTCAGGCGCAGGAGAGTAATACGCATAAACAAAACATTTATTCCGTCGATAAACAGTTGTGCAAGCATGCGACAACAAAACTCAGGCACAGGGGAAATATCTACCCTGGCAAACAACAATGATGGTGTTAAGAGATAGATGGGAGGTATTGAATAGAGTTGAAGGATGGGACTAATAACAAATAACAACAAATAATAACAAAGATAGCTAATAATGTAAGCATACTGTGTCCATAATAAGTATATAGGTTGTATGTTGGAGCTTTTGGGAAAGAGCACAGTTAGAAAGATATGGCATATAGAAGCAAACCGGATGGACATCATGAAAATGATCGGAGAGGTTGAGAGTAGAAGTAGTTCAGGAGCAAAAAAAATAAAATAAAATAATAATAATAATAATAATAATAAATATATATATATATATATATATATATATATATATATATATATATATATATATATATATAATATAATTATTGTAAAATTAACTCTGTCCATAAGGTGTAGATAGTAAGTATAGACCGGAAGTAGAGGCCTGGGCATTGTTGTTCACTAATTTACTCCAAGTAGGGAAAGGACGGTGGGGTTGAAAAGTAATAAAGGGGAGTATATATATAAAAAATATAAAAAATAAATAAAACATGGGGGATTGGAAGTGATGCAGACAATTACATTGATAGAAGATACAATCTATCTGCAATATTAAGCTGATCCATTCCCCCCCAAAAAAAACATTTTTTAAATGAAAAATATAAAAATTAAAAAAATATATTTATAAAAAAAAAAAAAAAATGAAAGGGTAGCTCAACCAAGCTACACACAGATCACATCAAACAATCACCCACACAGACAAGGAAGCAGAGGGAACACTTATACAATGACTAATTGTGGATAAGGACCAGGTGTGTGTGATTAATTAGACAAGACAAGTGGAGTGATGATAAATGGATCGGCAGCAGCTAGTAAGCCGGTGACGACGAACGCCGAAACCTTGCCAAAGCCCCGGATAAAGCCCCGGATAAACCTCCGATAATAGTTGGCAAAGCCAAGGAAGCGCTGCACCTCCTTAACCGTGGTTGGAGTCGGCCAATTATGAACATATTGTTTTTCGACACGCTCCCTCTACCGCACCTGCTGTCTCGACCTCTGAATGCTCGGCTATGACAAAACATACAAAATAGCAGAATTGGTCTGGAGTCCCATAAGTCAGCAGCTATCCACTGCAGCGCCATCTTCACCTCCAGTGTGTGTGTGTGTGTGTGTGTGTGTGTGTCCTCACCTCGTCTGACTGGCGGATGGTGTCCAGGGGTATCCAGGAGGTTCCTATCATGGTGTCCCAGATAAGGCCTTTATTCCACAGCTCTACCACCAGGCCTGACTCCAGATGACTGATCTCACTGAAACACAACCAGCAAAGAGGATGTCGAGCAAAGGATAAAAGGATAACATTTAGTACGTTTGCCACCGCATCAGACACTCACTACACCATTTTTATTTGACAAAAGTCTGTTTCTTTCAAACCTCCCTTACTTCTTAAAACCCAGCGTTCCATTTTCAACATTTCACAAAAAGGTCACAGAGACCTTGTAAGTACCAAACGGGCAAGCCTCAGGTAAGTAATATATCCAAATCTCAGCCCACGCTTTCACTAAGCGTTCAGCACTCAGACATGGGCTGTAGATTAAGGAAATGTTCTATCTAGTCAAGTCCCATCTTAGATATCAGCAGTGCTGTCCCTGTCAAAATGCTCTGTCGGAAATCTGCATCCTTAAAACAGGACAAAAAATAACAGCAATAAGTTCTACATTCAGCTTCCCAGTCAGCCAGCCAGTCAGCCAGCCA